TCTGCCAATTTGTGTTAAAATAAATATATTTTCTGTGAATTATTGTTTTTATTTTCAACTTCTTTAAAAAAGTTCAAATTTTCAAATGAATTAAGAACAGGTATTTAATATGCATTCTAAGGTGGCCCTTTAAAACTGTGTATTTCTTACTCAAATTTTAATCGTGGCCTTTTTGGGTAGTGGCGGTCGGGGAGACATTATTAAAGTGGCCCTTTTGGGTATCTCCGAATTGAGCCCATACCGTAAGAATGGGAATCCATGGTTGGGAAAAAATTTAACTAATTTCTATTATATTTTCACTATATCTTATAAATACCTACTAAATATAGTGAAAATTACTTTTAATTCTTCCCAACCATACCTTTAGTTGAAGAACTCGACGGAAATTTGCTAAATGTCATTTAAATTTCAGTTTTCTAGTAGTTGCCTAAACTGAAAACCATTTCTTGATTTAATGTTCAAAATGCCGGACACCTGTAATGTATATAACCCTTTCTTAATTTTTTAAATGACATTTTCCAGAACGGTTTTCTTTAACTTTTCAAACACCCTGTAATGATCTATTAACAAATCGCATGTCTCATAATTTTTTTTTAAATTCAAGAAAATTTATGTAGCCTGGATGAAGTTTTTATTTTTTACATTACTTGTGATTTCACCGAAAGCAGAAGCAGCATTAACTCTCTCTTTCCCATTGCCGGACTGCTGGATGCCAGTTATTGAAGAGATTTTCTGCTCCCAGTTTTCTAGTCGGCTTAGCCTTTAAATTCCTGCTTCAATTCCATTGAGAAATTCCGTGCATCGACATGACCCTGGAAATATACCGCTATTTATAACCTCAAGCTATTTTGTAAAGTTCGGCGGTGAGCATAAAACAACATAAATTATTGCAAATTTGAGTGATAGATAGATTTTATAATAAATTAGATTTTAGTTTCACATCTAGAAAACTGAGTTAAGCAAAATTTATAAAATACTTTTTTTATGCAAATTGTTAGTGACCATGGGGAAAGGGCAGAACAGAAAGTGCAAAATTTCTACGTTTTGTGAATGGGAAGGAAATTTAATAATAAATATTCAAAATATTGCTTGAAACAAAAAGATACCCTAACCACAAATTAGTCCCAATATAGTAAGTATGGTATTCGACATTGTACAGGGTGATTCATTAAGAATGGCACTCGGCCATATCTCAAAAACTATTTATCATAGTCTTGTCGGAAAAAAATTATTCCATAAATATGGGGAAGAGAAAATGCTGGAGATATATTTCAGCTTTCTAAAATGACCGCAAGGGGGCGTAACCCAACTGTCAAAGTACAAAAATGGTTTTATTTTTGAAATTTCGAATGGGAACGTATCTTAAAAATGCTAGCATTCGATTCTTGAGGAAATTTCACACAATTCTGATCTATGACTTTTTACCATAACTTATCGGATAAGACAGTTATGAGCTGTCAAATATTGCAACTCAAGAAAGCGGATAACTTCAAAACGACTCAACAAATCTGGTCGATCTTAGGTTCGTTGGAAAGACAAAAGTCTGCTCTTTAATTTTGTGGTGAAAAATTCAAATTCTGCTTAGTAGGACTGACGCTATGGGTCAATATTTGGAAACAATTGAATGTTTCCAATTTTTCTTAAAATTTTCAAATGGAACGGTATATTCAAGATACATTAAATCGATTTCTGAGGATTTTTTACACATAGTTTGTCTTTATCACCTTCCTACAAACGAATTCCAGAAAGTGTTAAAGTTAATTTTATTTAAAATAATCAGTATTCATGAAAAAGCCCTCGTAGATAATGACTTTGTTTTTCTGACAGTTGTCAAATAATAAAAAAAAGTGCGTTCCAAAATAATAAATTTTATTTTGGGTTAATAATTTAAGGATTTTTTAGCGAGTAACCATTTGTAACGGTGTTATCACGAGCTATAACCGTACGGGTATTACCCTCACTACTGGTGTTCTGTCAAAATTACCCCCACCTAATAAAGTTTGTTATTCTCTTTTTCGCAAAAACGAACCGGTTATAGAAAGCGATCATACAAAAGTGAGGTTATAGATACCTATTAAGCAAACCAAAGACCTGTCCAAAATGGCGCCTAATTGGCACACAATAAACAAAAAACCTATGGCGATGGCGGGATTATCAATACAATAATCAAATTGAAATTGAAAACTTTTAAAAATGTACTCTTTGCGTAGGTACCTGAAACAAGAAACCAGTACACATATTTTTTTAACATTAAAAAGTATATTCGCTTTGTCTAAAGGAACACAGACGGTGTAATCCTTCCCTTCATTGTTTAAAGTTACTTCAGTTAAAATTTCAATATTTTCTGCCCTGTTGGTCCCCCGGATCTCCAAGGAATGGATTGGATATTACACGTTCTACCTTACTGAGCGTTTCTTTCACCTTTTACGTTTAAACTAACAACCAGAAACCCACGTCCACGTCCCGCAATAATGTTTCCTAATTTTCGGGTTTTACGTTAGAGTAAGGTAAAACCCATTGAGGTAAAACCCAAACGCCCATATTTGAATAAAATCCAACTGTCAAATGTTCTATAACCACCAGTAACCCAGGTCCTGCATAGGTTACTGAATCCAATACCGTGTTATAAATGCGTGACGTCATTGATTTCCACTATTGACGTCATAATAAGTTCCCCTATTACAGCTGCCTCGCTAAAATTTCAAAGGTTAGAGATTTTCAGTTACCGTTTATAACACGGTTACACGCTTTGTAACGCGCGGTTAATCGCTTAAAAATCCTTATTACCTTGCATGTTTTGGGACTTGAACCTCAATTGGAATAATTCACCAAAAGTTTCTCTATCTTGAAACGAATTACTATGAGCTCTCTAGAGCTTGTAGTAGCAAGGTAATTAACCCAAAATAACATTTATTATTTTGGAACGTACTTTATTCATTATTTGACAACTGTCAGCACAACAAAGTCATTATCTACGAGGGCTTTTTCATAAATACTGATTATTTTAAATAAAATTAACTTTAACACTTTCTGGAATTCGTTTGTAGGAAGGTGATAAAGACAAACTATGTGTAAAAAATCCTCAGAAATCGATTTAATGTATCTTGATCTTGAATATACCGTTCCATTTGAAAATTTTAAGAAAAATTGGAAACATTCAATTGTTTCCAAATATTGACCCATAGCGTCAGTCCTACTAAGCAGAATTTGAATTTTTCACAACAAAATTAAAGAGCAGACTTTTGTCTTTCCAACCTTAGATCGACCAGATTTGTTGAGTCGTTTTGAAGTTATCCGCTTTCTTGAGTTGCAATATTTGACAGCTCATAACTGTCTTATCCGATAAGTTATGGTAAAAAGTCATAGATCAAAATTGTGTGAAATTTCATGAAAAATCGATTGCTGGCATTTTTAAGATACGTTTCCATTTGAAATTTAAGAAATAAAACCATTTTTTTACTTTGACAGTTGGGTTACGCCCCCTTGCGGTCATTTTAGCAAGCTGAAATATATTTCCAGTATTTTCTCTTGGCCATATTTATGGGATAATTTTTTTCCGACAAGTCTACGATGAATAGTTTTTGAGATATGGCCGAGTGCCATTCTTAATGAATCACCCTGTACGTATAGTCCAATTTTAAATTATTTGAATTAAATAAGTTCCTAATTTATTTATTCACAGTTTAAAGTTGCTGGCTGCAATGCGCAAAAGTTATAAAGTAAGAATTAATTAGTTTTATATTTTCAGGAATGCTTTTTGCTCCATTTCGAAAGAAAAAACTTTTCACACATTAAATAACCTACCTACTGCTTAAAAAAATAAAAGTTGATAGACAAACTTGACAGTAGATTCGATTTTCAATTTTTTGCAATCATGCTTGCGTGAATTAAAATACAATAAATCCAATTCATCATCAAGAAACAAGAAAACAATGCAGCCCAATATTATAAAATCGTATGACAGTCAAAATAACTTTAATTGTGCCCATTTTTTGCTCTCATTAAGTTCGTATTGAAATTGGAATTACAAATTGCGGAATGTGAATTTGACTTATTTCCGGGTTCAATTAATGAAAAGCGTATCTCATCGATCCTTTCTAAGATTCCTGAGCATTATAATTACATTCAGAATATTTGCGTTTAACTGCAAAAAACGACTGACCGAGCACCGCAAAAAAAATCCAATAACTTCTCCGTTTTTCCCTCTCTTGAAATTAATGCTTCATTGGTGCTGAAAAGCGCGGCGATAAATATTTCGTAAACTTCACACGTTTTTAATTAACTTCCAGCAGTTAATTTAGCAGGATAATCGGTCAGGCATTGTTCCAACTTCCGACGTTTATTTTTCCAGAGCGGTGGGCGATTAGTCTGTAGTCATTCATCAGTATTGTTCCGGTTTATGTAAGCGTCACTGACCATCGATTTCCACATCCGTTGTAACCTGAGGCGCTCTCAAAATATTGAACGACATAGAAAGATGGAAGATGTAATAGGAGCGCCTACGTGAATGATAAATCGAGTTAATTTTTCGAATGGTTTTTCTTATTCTAGACCTTCCGGGGAGAGGGTAAAATGATTCCCCCGAGGAAAAAATGACTTAACTATGAGAAAGCAGTTTTTTAAATTTTATTCTGATATCAAAGGCCCCTAACAGAACAATATTTTTTGAAAAAGAGTCTCTATTCACTTATGGAATGAAAAAAGGAAAAAAAAAAAGAGCAAACGGATAATTTTACGCACATGACACCTTCTACAAATGACTAAAAAATGATGCTCTGGCATAATAATTAAAAACCTACTGCAGTATTTCTAAAATGATATCTCCACTTTTTTTAAAAATATTTATTTTCGAATAACTGAACTTGCTAAATATCATACTTACTATTTTCTTATGAATGAATTCGATTAAACCAAACTTCGCACAGAGTTCCTTATGTGAAGCAACTATTTCAAGCGAACTACGTAGGTACACTAAAATACATATATATATTTTTTTTCAGATGCTTATTAGTTTATTTATATACTGGAGTATAGTGTCTTTGGTTCATGGTTTACCAGGGGCTAAAGGGTATAGAAATCCAGGAGAGGTGGCTAAAAATGGCATCCAACCAGAACCAACGTGCGAAGAACTCAAAGCTATGTGGAGGTAAAAATATATCTATATCTCTTCTAATATGCAATAAAATGATAATTTTGAAATACATCATTTATTAAGCAAACAATCCATAACAATCATATTCAGATATAAACATATAACAATAATATTAACTTATGTTTAGGTCGGAGGCTTAACTAAATGAACTGAACTCCTAGACAATGCATTTGTAGCATTGGTAACGGAGTTTGGTTTATATATATCACATTACAAAGTTTGCGTGGTTATTATATCTATCAATCATCGAATTTCAGCTTTAGCATTTTAATAAATTTGTGATATTGGAATTCTTGCTTTATTTCAATAGACAGATTGTTGAATACCTGTGAGGCTTCATCAATAGGGTTTCTCAACGCCTTATTGGTTCTAGCACTATTCAGTCTGATGTTGTTGTGCCTTAATGTGTGTATGTCTTTTGAATAAACTATTGTGTAATTTGATTTTTGGAGGTTATTAATTATTTTAAAAATTAGTTTTGCTTGTTCTAACTCACGAATTTGGTCAATTGACTGTATTTTTAACAATTTATATATCTCATTGGTGTGCATAAGGTGGTCAAGATTAAACAGAATTTTAAGTACTTTATTTTGCAGAACTTTAACTTCTTGAAAGCTAGTTTTACTGCAGGTTCCCCATACTGGTATAAGGTATCGTAGGTTTGAAAGGATGTAAGCATTATATATTTTATATTTTGTTGAATTACTTAAAAATTGTTTAAATCTGTGAAATGCTCCCATGAAAGGAATAATTTTGTTTTTCACGTGCTCGATGTGGGCATTCCAGTTAAGATTTTCATCCAGTATAAGTCCTAAGTATTTTACGCTGTTCACACTTTCTAGCTTTACTCCATTTAGGGATATGTTAACTTGATCTAAATGTTTGTTTTTTTGTTTAAATATTATGTAGTTTGTTTTGGCCAAATTTATCTTAAGATTATTTTGTAATAGCCATTGGCTATATTTAGTCAAGTCATTATTCACTTGATCAACCAGAATGTCACAACTGGGGTCGGTATATAATAGAACAGTGTCGTCTGCAAACGTATAGTATTGGGCATCTAACCCAGATACTCGCAGACTGAGAACATAAAGTGAGTAAAGTAGAGGTCCCAACACTGATCCCTGAGGTACACCACAGTTGTAGGTTAAGATTTCACTTTCCTGTTGATTCACACACACATATTGCTCCCTGTTTAATAAGTACGACCCAATCAAAGAAAGCCCACATCCTTTAAAACCCATACCCTCCAACTTATTCAATAAAATAGTATGGTTGACCACATCAAACGCCTTTTGCAAGTCCACAAAAACTGCTATTATGATTTTACCTTTATCTAAGTTGGTTGAAATGTAGTTGAGCAGATCCACAGTGGCACTAAGAGTACTGCTATTTTTAAGAAACCCATATTGATATAGATCGTATGAGATAAATCTTTCCACGAATGATATTACCCGTTTTTTTTATTACAGTTTCCATTATTTTAGCAAATACACTGATTATGGAGATGGGTCTATAGTTATTATGTTGTGTTTTTGCTCCTGATTTGTATATTGGGCATACCTTAGATATTTTGAGTTCTGGTGGAAATTGACCGGTGCTGAGTACCCTATTGACAAGCTGTACTAAAATGTTCAAAATGTGATCTTTTATATTAATTAAATCTGTTGCTCTAATTTTATCATGGCCTGGTGCCGCATTCCTTTTGAGGTTTAATAATATACTATTCAGTTCATTACAGTCCGTAGGGACATAAAATACATTATTATCACATTCAATTTCATTGAATTTTTAAATTACATTTAAATTTTTGGCATCTTCTTGTACATCCTTGATTATAGTCGCACCTATCTCCGTAAAATATTTATTCAAATCATTTGCAATTTTTCTAGGATCATTTACAAGTTCGCCATTTATTTCGATTTGGCTTATGTTGTTATTCATAGAAGTATTTTTTGGAAATAAATTATTTATGATATTCCATTGTTTTTTTGCATTGTTTCCGGCGAGAGTCCATTTATTTTTAAAGTAATTATTTTTCAGTGATTTTATTTTATTGTTTATAGAATTTTTTAGTTTTATAAAGTCTAGCTTCAGAATATTATTATTTGGGAATTTTTTATGTTTTTTGTACGCCGATTCTTTTTCCTTTATCAAGATTAACAAGTCTGGTGTTACCCACTCATTATTTTGGCGACATTTGATTTTTTTTTTAGTTCTAGATTCTTTTTTACACTCAGAAATAATATCTATCAGGTCATTGAATGTATTTATATTTATATCCGTTATTCTATTGCGAATTTTTTGTTGGTATTTTTGTATGTTTTAAATAGGATGTTGAATAAATACTTTAGGCTTGAACCTTTTGATACTTTCTTTAACCTCTAAACTGATTTTTTTATGATCTGACAGCGAAGTGTCTTCAACCCTGATAAAGCATTCATTTTTTTTATTGTTAGTACAAATTATATGATCAATTATAGTGCTAGTGTGAGAAATACGGGTCGCATTTGCGATGTTAATCTTGTTGACAATACAATAATTATTTAATGCTATCATATTTTTATAGTCTTTGGTAATAGTCGATTCCTGATCTAAGAGATTAATATTAATATCCCCTAATATGATATGGTTTACCTTATGAGTAGTTATCACAGATTCAAGCTTATGTAAGAAGTCGATACATGGATAGTTCGGAGTCGGAGGTCTATAAAATGCACTTAGTTTAAGTTTGTCTATTTGTATACAAATCCAGTTATACAGTTCACTTGGATCACTACAGTCTATTTTATTAAATTGTATGTTATTTTTGATATAGATGCTTGCTCCTCCGCCTGTGGATGCTCTGCATGAATGTATGGCCTGGTATCCATCGACGTTATAAAATTGTGTTTCGTTGGGATAAAGCCATGTTTCCACAAGAACAAATATGTCAGTCGATGTAATTTTCATGTTGGCTTGAAACTCTTCAAACTTATTCCGTATACTTTGAATATTATAATAAACTATGCTAATAGTACTTTGAGGTTTAATTAGTTTTTTAAATCCTTCTGGCTTTCTACCAATTCCACCTTACTATTATCATCCTTACGTAAAAGGATTTTTCCATTATTTATCCATAGGTACTTGAAGTTTTTTTCTTGTTTATATTGTTTGGCCCTTTTAAAGAGTTCCACGTTGTATTTAGTCAAATCATGGTTTATATATATCGTTTTCCTTCCACCCGCAAATCCTCCTATATCGTTAGTTGTAAGTGTTTTTGTTTTTCTTGCTACCATCCATTTTTTCTTATCTTCTTCAGTTCTGAAATGTATTCTAATTGGTGATGTTTTGTTTTCCCTGCGAGGACCCAACCTATAGGTTTTATTTATACTGTCTCGTATCTTCGGGATGTTTAGTGTGGATGCTAATTTGTCGATAATTCCATCTAAATTCTCATCCTCCTTATATGGTATTCCTTGAATTAACACATTATTATTTAACACTTGTTGTTCGTTATTATTAAGTTTCATCTTAATATCTTGAATCTCCTCTCTCAGCTCCTCATATATTTTTATTTGTTCTTCATACTTCTCAAATAAGATATTGTATTTACCATCCATCTCATTTAGTTTTGCCATGATATCCCCTATTGTCTAATCATCCTTTTTATTATTTTGCTTTTTGTTTTTACACTTCTCGCATTTCCATTCTGCATCTGCATTTTTTTCATAGCGTAAATATGTGGTTTTCGCCATGTTAAGGCAAGCTCTGTGATTCCATTTTTCACATGCATCACAGCAAAGGGCTTGTGCCTTGGCAGCTGATATTATCTCCACAGAATATCCTCTGTTTTGATTTTATTCTTAAAGTAATGAGTTACCTTTAGGCTCAGAAAAACCGTAAACACTTAATGCGTCTGTTCACTGTATTTTTAAATAATTTTTAAGCACTTTTTTCCAAGAAAACCACAAAACTTCACAGCATAATAAACACAACCTCTTGCAATGTTGCCAGTTTTTCAACCCTGAGAGTTTAATCTCCTTTGCAGTAGAAAACATGTGATGCTTTTTCAGAAATAAAAATTATTCCAAAGTATTGAATATAGGTTTATCTCCTTTAATTCATATCCCTACACATTTTTTTTTTTTAATGTTTCAGTGCTATATAGGCCACAGACAGTATTTAGTTCAGCCACATAGGTTTTCTAAACTAAACCGCTTATATACAAAAATTTATAGATTCGTGATTTGTTCAAAATTATTGCTGAAATAGATTTTAGAACGTATTTAAATTAGCTTGCATATTTTTTTGGAAAAAAAGCAAAGGACTCTGAATGATGACAATAGTCGAAAATGTATATCTAATTAATAGATAAGATCAAAATAAGCTCTCGGCTTAGAATTTTATCCTCGGCTAGAGACTTTTTATTGGGTGCCTTGACTTGCCAACATCATAACCAGGGCTAAAGACATTTTGACATGTTTGTGCTTCCGTCGGAATTCACCGCAGTTTTATTTTATAAATGCAAACATGAAATCTCGGTGCATGAGGACAAATATCTAATAAAACCACCGTCTAGAAAAGATATTAATTTAACCCCTAACAATTTTCAAACGCCAATCAAAGGTCAAATACTATTTTTTCCGATAAAGTTGCGCTTCAGAAATTCAATAGCTTAAGATCAGTAAAACTTTTAATCCAGAATCTATGAACTGACCCAAACTAACCAGACCGGTAAACTTTAGTATCCATTAGATACGGTGAAGTGAAAACAGCTGACCTGCCGATAGCCACAATCTATAGGTAGGTATATAAAATTTAAATCAAAGAGCAAACGGATCGTCAATACAAAGTTTCCTACAAGTTTACTTACTAGAAGAAGGTTATATATATATAAATAAATTATTTATATGAAGCATGATTCACAAATCGGAGCAAAAGTAAAAAATAATCTGTGTAATTATTATACACGAAGTACAAAAAATTTCTTGAAGTGTATCTACCTACTAGCAATTCATGTTTTAATTTTTTCGCGATGTTTTGTACTAATTTTTTAGTAATTTCAATTTTATTTCCTCTGACACTTTATTCTTTCAATTTACGAATCAGTTTTTTTGTTTTAAGTCTTAAGAATGACACAGATTGGTGTTCCAATGCTGGTATTACATAATTTAAAGTACCAATATACTATATTATGTCCAAGAAAGTTTACCCATTGGGCCCTTTTATTTCAATCATTTATATCCCTACTTATAGGTTTTCGAAAAGACAATCAAGAGCCGCAGAATTAACAAATGAAATTCCCATGTACCCTGATCCTTTTGCTGAAAACATTTGGCAACCTTTCTATGCTACATCAAGAAGTATTGGCGGGTAAGTGAATATTTTAAGGTAGTTTCCACTGCAAAAATGCCCCATTTCTAGGAGAAGATTGCCTGTAGCTTTCGGCAAAATCGCCTACGGACCGACAAGAAGTAAAATAAACCCAGAACATTTGATGCCATACTTACAATATGGTACTCAACTTACGCAGCCAAGGAGAAGACCTTCAACATCATTCAGATTACCGGGAGGAGGGCATATGATTGCTGGATATCCTCCACAATCAGGTTCTTTCAATCATCTGAAGGTAACATTGTAGTTTATTCATCTATTTATAAAGCCAATTTAGTCAAATATTGGATACAAGGATTCCTCTCATCTTTCACACATAATCGATTTGTGGTCAAGTGATGCTCTTTGAAACAACATGTTTTTGGAGATTCCTACTTACTTCATTCCTACTTCTTTTTTTTTCTCTCTAGCTCCAGACCATCATGTGTCACGATTTCCGTTTTATTAATCCTTTTTCTACGAAAAAGCTACTTTACGGAAAGAAATACGAAATATCATATCATCATTTATCACAATATTTAGTGTATAGTGTGGCAAATTTCATTTTGCCGGCGACGTCTGAGGGGTGCAGAGCAGTAAAATGGCGGACACATGGTGGCTTGTATCGTGAACCTTGTCAAACTTGTTTTTATGAAGGTAGCCATAATGGACTTCAATCATCCGCAGCCAATCGCCTTATTGATGTACTGTCAAGGGGAGGAGTTGACGCACCTGTCAATTTTTTGTTCGCATTCTTTCCGTCGGCAAATTTATATTTGTCCGACTCTGACTTTATCAACTAGAAGTTTCACAACTCACAAGTAAACCGTCACTTTGTCTGCCTCCATAATTCAGTATGTCTCGGTTGCGAATCAATTGCTCAAACAAATCCGACCGTCTTATCCATTTGAATAATTCTACCACTACTACTCGCTAGTTCCTGAGCAGTCTGATAATGCAAATATTCTCGCATAAAATTTACAGGAGTATATTACATTACAGAATGTTTTTCATTGCCTTATTCTGCAACCTCTGCACCTTGACAATCTCATATTATATGATTTGATGGAAAGAGCGTAGATGAACAGTACCTAATTGAAATATGGCAATATGAGAGTACCTATATTGTAAATCAGTGATCTTAAAATTTCATGTTAACAGCCATATCGTCTGTTTCCTCTGAGACCGTTTAGTCATCAAAGAACCAAGTGTAGCCCTCTCTTCTCTTACACAGAATTTCAGAACATTGATTCACAATCATACTAAATAAAGAAATTGAATAAAAATAATCGTTTTCAGTTGGCTTGATAATTATTTCTATAGAAAAAAATTGGTTTGTTTGGTTTATCAAAAATGAAATAATTAAAAGAAAACAAAAACTCAATATTTTACCTTATTGTTGCAAACTAGTAACAATATCAAAAAAACTCACAAAATAAAGTTACATCTGAAATTGCATTAGGAACTTGATTTTCGAAATTAAAGTCCAAACTTCATAACATGAACTAAAAGAAGGAAACGACATAAATACGACAGAGAGCTCTCATCAAATTTTTCTGCCATCTGCTTATAAAAACATGTTGCCTCACTAAGTCGCTACAATAAAATATCTAAGTAGTCCTACCCGATGCCACGATTCTCTAAAATAATTAGCACTCCAAAAAGTGGGCGAAGCACCAATTAAGAAAATAATTCAACTTCGCTTTTGTACAATAGTTAGTGGGAGTTATTTAAGTTTCCAGATAGGGGCGAAGCACCACTCTCACAATTTTCATAAATTAATTATTCATGAAACTTTAGCTTCGATCGATTTTTGTTTACTTTTGTCTGAATTTGAAGTCTAAATTCCTAGATAATTAACTGGAGACCTTTACAGAGCTTATTATTATTTTCGTATCAAATTTGATCAACTTTCGTTGAACGACAAGCGTACTTTGTGAATATTTGGCCTTTGTCCTCGCTAATAATGTTCAGGCAGTTTTTTTTTTCCACTAAATGAAAAATCCACGGACTGAGTCACAGTTCACAAAAGCACGAGACTCCAAACTTCACTCAGTCGTCGACAAGTTTTAATTTTTGCTGATGATTGTGAGTCACCTCAGAAGCTCTATGGCCATTGGTCATAGTATGACAGGCCATTTTCCAATAGGCGGAAATTTGTATGAATTCATGCTCTGAAGATTGAGGTAAACTCTTGAATTTGTTGTGGATTATTCTGAGTCATAATGGAAATGACAAGGTAATTTCTATGACGACTATTCCAACAAAGAACCTAATATTTACATAAAATTTAATACTTAATTTTTTTTTAAAGGAAATCATTAAAACTGAAAGAGCTCGAGAACTTCAGCAACAAAGAATTGTAGAAGAAGCTGCTGCTAGAGCAGCTGCTTTGAAAGATATAGGGAGAAATCAACCTGGGTAAGTTTTCAAATTATTTTTTTATTTGAAAAATATTGAAGAATTGCTTTTAGCCGGTATATGACAGATCACTTTTCTTATGACGTGAGTGAGCCGCAAGAAATGATGTATTCAGCTGATATGCCAAATGAAGAAGCAGTACCTGAAGAAGACCGAAACACTTCTAGAGGTAGTGGAATACTAGCTTTTCCGGATCTTCTGGCACCTGGATCACGAATGGTACATGATGGACAAGTTGCACGGTTTGTTTCAGAATATGCTCCACATCCTCCTAGAACACATCAGGGACATGGAGCTGTTAGGATGCGTTCGCACGCACCTAGCCTATTTGATCCGAGTGCTTTTCGTGTAAGTTAAAATAATTTTATATGCAGCAGTGTCGATTAAGTTCGCAACACATCAAAATAGATTGTATACAGAGTAATAATTTTTTTTTTGTTTGTTTTAAAATGAATACACCAGGTAATTTGTATTTCATATTACAAAAATTGTAGATATTTCAAAACTCTGCCAATGTGAATTTCAGACATCTTTTTTGATAACTTTTTTTTAGTAGCATATTTTCAAACTCGCACCATAGCTTTTTTTGGATTTTTGATGCGATCTCTCATTTTTTTTCTGGTACTACATAATACAAAATACTTTGGTATGCTGCAAACTTTTTCGGTCACACATACAGTGAGTCACTTTGAAAACTTCTTTCCACTAAAAATCACCAGAATACCCACAGTTTAATTTTGCCGCCTTTGGAACCTAGATAGAAACAAATAGGGCGAATTATTATTACATTTTGTAGGTACCTGATTCAGAAAGCTTTTCATTATTCCATGATTTGCAGTATTAAAATTAATAAATTTGTTGTTTCTGTGGCTCTTTTGAAAATTGAAAAAAAAAACGGCAAGTTTTTCATTATTTTTATTACGAGAGAAAATTCTCAATTCCAAAGACGTTGCACGATATAGTTGTAAACAAAAAAACGATTTTTTTTTTTTTTTAAATAGTCCGAAGATGATTGAAATTTGTCTTGATTTTCAATTTTTTGGGAGAACTTTTTGTGTTAAAATTAGCCAATTATAGCTTGTCAAAAGATATAAACTTTCACACAAGGATATAATATGTAATACGCCTTCTAGGCATTGACTTGGGTAAGAAAAACGATGATTCCTATCCTATAGACTATGCAGGTTAGGCCGCAAATGAATGAAATGCGAGTCATAACATAAATGGACAAGGAGTTTTAAGAGGCTCTAAGTACTTGAAACTTCATCAGAGTATCCGTTGTGAAATGCCATGTTGGAAAAAGATTTAATATCAAGAAATGTCGCAAATACTGACCTGCTCGCACAAACCATAAGGAAAGAAAAAATAGGTATTTTGATTATGCAGCCTTGAATAACGTCAGAAGTGAAAACCAGCCAGGTACAGTACCGATCAATCAATGTTGGACAGGCTCGGGAAAGCAAAACGTAAGAGCCAATTTGGATTTAAAGGAAGAGATTTCCCAACTGACACACAAAAACGATGGAAACAAATAATCGAGATCACAAAAAGCATAAGCAAACCAATAATTGAGAGCCGTGATAAATGTCGACATCTATACTAAAGAGTCAAGTCGCAGGAATATGGAGAGCCCAAGTAGCATCCGCCGTTGCCAAATGTATTGTTATAGGTTAGGTAGGTAATGTGTTGCGCACATTATTGGATTTCTACGATTACTTGCAGAGGCATGGTGGCCCAGTTTGAATACGCTCGGTTTTTGGACCCAATGGACCTGGATACGATTCTCGTTGGAGGCAATACATTTTTTTATTTGCCATTAGCTTAGGGAGGGATCGAGAACTCAAGAGGCAACAAGGAGACACCTAGGCCCATGGAAACAGATTGACAAATAAAAATTGGGACAACTAGACTATAAAGTCACCTAATGCATAACAGCACGTGAGCACATTGTCTTTCAATATTTAGAGGGGGAGGAATTAAGACTTCAACCATAAATAGGTATAGGTAGGGATACATAAGCATAACCAAAGTAAAGAAAACGACCCATTGATGACGACCGAAAGTAACTTTGAAGCCATAACCATCATGATTATGAAAAAGGAGCAGGAGAACAGAAATAGGAGCGAGCTAATCAGGAAAATCCTTAACTGATAGGTACTGCTGTGTGAATAAATGAATTTTCACATGTGAATGTGCATATTTCAGTGTGATATGTATATCGATTTTCTTTTATTCAATAACTTGTGTGTGAAACCACATAAGACGGACTAGTGGACTGTATGAAGGTGGATTCGGATTTGAAATAACACTTAAACACTACTTTGTACACTATATTTACACATTTAATATTTACACTTGATTTTTGTAAGATGGCTAAAGAGGCCAGGGCTTACTTAGATGCCAGTAAGGCAGAGCTAGTTTTATAACTGAATATTTGCTCACAATTTTTAAACTTTTTTATATTTTTTAATGCAAAGCACACGTGTGTCTCTTCTGTTCGGAGAGCAAAATCGAACTCTCTTTTTATTGGTCGCTTGATGAGTCGACACATTTTGACGTTGACATACACATACAAAACAAAGATGGAATCTCTGCAAAAGAGATAGAAATATTGTTGGATGTTGTTTCCAACATGCTGGGGGGCCTAGAGTTTCACATGAAACCTAGCTATGTTTCCAGCAGGAAGAAAAAGAAAGCAATCTTTTCAAACAAAGTTTCAAGTAATGTTTACAGTAACTATACCTAGTCCTATTAAATATTTAGTAACGAAAACGTCATTGATTCTTACTACTAAATAAAATTTACAATATATTTACATACTTATATATGAAGACTAATTATTACTATATATAAAAAAAAATATATATCACAAAATACAGTTTATTTTATTTTGAACTTAATTTTTAATTATTTACATTGTCATCAATTGGCAAGACCGCCACTTTAGTAACAGATCTTAAATATGTTCCTTTTTGGGTTTTAACTTCCACAACCCTTACTTTTTTGTCTTTGCCTGGTATGGTTCTAATAATTCGAGCCATTGGCCACTTATAGGAAGGAACATTGTCTTCCCTTAAAATTACCAACATTCCTTCTTTGAGATTAGGCATTTCATAACGCCATTTCGGCCTATTTTGTAGTTGGGTCAAGTAATCATGGTACCACTTTTTCCAGAAATGCTGCTGCATTTGGACACACAACCTCCAGAATTTAATTCGATTTTGAGGAATTTCTGTTAGGTCAGTTTCTGGAAAACTGGTAATAGGTGCCCCAATGAGAAAATGACCTGGGGTTAAATATTCCAGATCCGAAGGATCTTGGGATAATGCTATTAGAGGTCTGGAATTTAAGATTCCTTCTACCTGAATAATCAAGGTGTTGAACTGTTCATAAGTTAGTTCATTACTACCCATCACTCGCTTTATGTGAAATTTTGCGCTTTTAACTCCAGCTTCCCATAAACCGCCGAAAACTGGAGAATAGCTAGGGATGAAGTTGAATTTAATTTTTTGTTCAAGGGCATAATTGTTAATTTTTTCAGTTTGTTTGTAAAGTTCTTTTATTTTGTTGTCAGCTCCCTTAAATGTGGAACCGTTATCGCAATATACATTTGCGGGCATCCCCCTTCGAGAAATAAAGCGCTTAAAGGCAGCCAGAAAATTTTCAGTGGTTAAATCCGAAAGAAGTTCCATGTGAATTGCTTTAACCGAGAAGCATACGAACAGTGCTATATAGGCTTTTGAGCTGACAGATTTTCGAATTCTAGATTGTTTTATAGTAAACGGACCACAGAAATCCACACCAACGTTTCGGAAAACTCTAGATGAACAAACTCTCCCTTCTGGCAGAGAACCCATTAATTGGGAAGAACATTTAGCCTTAAATTTGAAACATTTAACACATTTGTGTAACTGCTTTTTCACTGTTCTGATACCATTAATGACCCAGAAATTGAGGTTCAATGAACTCAAGACTTGTCTTGGCCCAGCATGTAATAAAGCCAAATGTTCTCTAGTTATGATGAGCTTGGTGATATGACTCTCTTTGGGCAGAATTATGGGATGTTTTTGGTTGTAGGAGATATTTGAGTTCTGTAATCTCCCACCCACGCGCAACAATTCATTGCCATCTAAAAAAGGTGATAAAGAATTTAATGAGGATTTTAAATGATTTTTTGCAAGTAAAAATTTGATATCATCCGAAAGATAAAAGTTTTGCTCATGTTTTATAATTACTTTGAGAGCATTTTCCAATTCAAAAATTTTTGGATTTCCTTCAACTTTTTCCTCAGGTACAATTTTTCTAGCAATGTTTGAAAATCTGAGCATATAGGCAACAATTCTTTGAAGCTTGGTTATGCCTGAGAAGTCGCTGAAAAAAGATTTTTGCGGAGCTGCAACAAGATTAATTACTTTTTCTTCTGGTAACGAGTCTGGAATTTCAATGGGAATAGTGTTATGGCAAAAATTGACGTTAGAAAGCATTGTTGGACCATGAAACCATAGCTCATTTGAATGAATTTCAGGAGGCTCTAGACCTCTTGACAGGCAGTCAGCAGGATTTTCCCTGGTACCAATGTATTGCCATTTGAAGTTTGAGGTGGACTTTTGGATTTTAATAACCCGGTTAGCCACATATGGGTTTAATTTTAAAGGGTTCGACTTCAACCAAGCCAACACAATGGATGAGTCAGAGTAAAGAAATACTTCATGAATTTTTGATTGTAATAAGAGAAATATTTTTTCAGCCAAGCCTGCTAGAAGCAGGGCACCATTCAACTCCAAACGGGGAATGGTTAGTTTTTTACTCAGGGGAACTATCCTAGATTTTGAACAAATTAGATTTATGCGGACTCTATCAGGAAAAATTGATCTTGCATATATAACAGCACCATAAGCTATCATAGAGGCGTCACAAAAACCTACAAGTTCAATGATACTTGCATCTTTAAAGAATAAATTTCGTGTAACTTCTAAAGTGGGCATATTTGTGAATGCTTTGATAAAATTCTGCCAAATTGCTAATAAGTCATTTGGTAAAATATCATCCCAACCGAGCTTACAGATCCAAATCTTTTGCATTATAACCTTAGCGGATACCAGAATTGGACCTGCCAACCCTAAAGGATCATAGAATTTAGATATTACACTAAGAACTTGTCTTTTTGTTAAACATTCGTTAATATTTATAATTTCAGGAGTTGATAGTTTGAAGTTATCGCTAAGGGTGTCATAAAAAAGACCTAAAGTTTTTGTAGTAAAATTATTTTTACCCATATCGATTTCATCAAAATTTTGTTGGTCTTTCGGAATATCATTTAAAATTTGTGGCTCGTTGGTACACCATTT